TCTCTGAAGTCCTGTTAGACTTGGTGCAATATATTAGAATATATGGAGAGCCGAAACTATCATAGTTAAAAATAAATATATTAAAAAAATGAATAACAAATATATATAAATAGCTCATTTTTATGTGACCATAAAGGCATAAAATTGAATAATGCATAAACCTTCCTAAAATTGCTAGAAATGTTTTTATTTTTCTGACAAAAGAAAAAAACATTTTTTCATTTGTCAATTTATTCATTTTCTTTACATTGTATTGATCTACTTCTTATATATTTAAAGTTATTTATTTCTGTATAATTTTTTGAATATATATTATTTCATGTATGTATATTTCAGGTTTTCCTTTTCTTCTTTCTATTTCTCCATCATATATTTTTGTGGTGTCAGTCCTTCGCACTCACCTTTTTGTAAGCGTTTGTTTTTATATCAGAGCGCTTGTTTGCTGGGTGATAAACTGTTTTGATGCCGATCAGCTGCACGCTGACAGGTGATTACATGTTTATCTGGCTCTGTGAAAGCTCGGGGGATCGTTTAAAGTTCTTTTCAAAGCCTGCTGATGTCTATCATGGCAGGCCTTCATTGTTGTGGGCGATGGTGGAAAGAAGGCTATGTGAGCTATGCACAACTTCACAGACAGCCATCAGACAGAAGCGTGTCTTCCCCCTGAGGACGCGTTTTCAGATACTAGTCCTCCCCAAGCTTTTGTCAAGAGCCACCTAATGTGATCAGATGTTTACTTAAATCAGCCTGTAGTGATGTTTTGTTAGAACTGAACGCAGACTGTCGCAGATTAAGCGATGTATTTTTCATTGCTTATTCTTAATTAATCTAAAACCACCACATTAAAGGAGCAGTGATTTATAAAAAAAAACATATATAGTGATTTGTAATGTGGTTTAGTTTTTAAAAATAAACGCGACGTCTGCACAGACTTCTAAGAGTTTCATAACATCCAGGTTTGAACCTTAACTTTTTTGGTCATATGTTAACAGAAATAGCTTCTTTTTAAAAAATTTTATTAATTGTATTTATTTATTTATTTTTTTGGACCTTCTGATCATTCTGATCTATGAATTCTCAGAGTTAGCTTGAATTTGAGACAAAGACTTTTTAGGTAGAATTTAGAATTAAAGATAAATAATCTAATTCAAATAGGGCATACACCCCATAAATACCCCTGGACTTAACAAGTTAAAGAAAGTTTGTGCGTGTAAACGTGGCTGAAGTTGGAGCTGATTCGTCTGAAACTGGAATCAAAAAGTATGTTTGATTTGTTTTATTTAGCATATTTATTTTAGCTTTGTTTCCTGCTGGTAAAGCCCTGACGCGCGGTCCCATCTTTGCCCTGATTAATGGCGTCTGTGGGGGGGCAGACCACCCATGAGCGCCGGCTGAATCGGGCCAGAGGACAGCAGCTTCCTCCGGCCGGCTCCTGCCCACTGACCGGGCTTTCTCACTGCTCAGTCAGGCATGCGCGGGGAGACGCGCCAGGAGGGAGACTCTGGGTTTAGGAGGCCGAAGGGAAATGTGGGAGGAGGCTTGGAAACAGAAAGATGGAAGAGAGGAGCGAAGACTGTCCTCAAAGATCAGTCCGTCTGAAGCCAAAAAGAGGAGCGTTTGCTCCTTTCTCTTCAACTCTTTGCCTCTTTTCCTAAATCTTGTGGCTTCTCTTGAACTAAAGTAACATTTTTGACACCATAACCCAAGAAAAGCTCTATCTGACTTGAAGTGGGGGAGTAATGGAGGTGTGGTCAGTCCTTCCAGATGTTTTGCAGCTGTCAGAACTGTCTTTGTTTTAGATATTTATCTCGTTCATATGAACCAGCTTCAGCTTAAATTATGCTAGGAGAGAACACTTAAAAAAATAGACTGTCTCGGGTTTATTTCACACGCCTATAAAAAAAAAAAATTGAACAAATGATGGAAAACCTTTTTTTTTTTTTGTTCTGATTCTGGGAGTTGGTCTGAATTTATTCTGTAACTGGGTTGTGGCTGTGAAAAGGGAAAATCCAACTCATGTAACACATGATGTAAAGGGCCACTGGCTCCACTCCCATTTCCAGCTTTCTGAGGGGAAATCTGTCATGGCGAGTCACCCCCACCCCCCCAGCTGTTTCAGCATCTTTGTTCATGGCAGGTGGGGCTGTTGTCAGGTAACAGCTAACTGCTTGTGATTGTACTTTTTGTTTTGATGAACCTATATTAATCAAAAGGTTCAGATTAGGGCTGCAACTAACAACTATTTTAATAGTCGACTAGTCACCGACTATTGAAACGATTAGTCGACTAATCGAATAGTTATTCACTTTTTCTTAAAAATAGCATAAAGTTGCTTTAGTTAAGTGGAAAATGATAAACACAAGAAAAATGGGTACTTCAATGAAAAATGCATCTTTTATTCAACTTTGCAGCTGATACAAAACGTAAATAAGAATGCGTTTGTCAGGCACAGTCAGGCATAACGTTAAAGCTCTCTTTCAAAGTGAAAAAACGCTTAGAAAATGTATAACGTACATAAAACGTATTAGCATTATTGTTGCTTAAATCTTACCGAGGCGAGTCAGACTCCGTTTCATTTAAGTGCCCAACATGCTTTCTTTTTAAATGCTCATGCATCACCGAGGTGCTGCCGTGATACGCAAGGTCTGTTTTGCAAACCTTGCACGTAATTTTTTTACTCGTTGTATCAAGGATAAAATGCTCCCAAACTTTGGAAGTTTTTGTACGCGTGTTGGACGCCGCCATTTCTGTAACCGCGACGCTGTTGTGCAGGTGACTCTGGGCAGATTGTAATGAAGTGAGATGTCTCACTCTGTTGGAAAAACACGTCTGGCGACAATAGTCGACAATGGAATTCATTGTCGACTTTTTCTATTATCGATTTTTGTCGACAACGTCGACGAATCGTTGCAGCCCTAGTTCAGATGTTGCTCTTTATGGTTTGAAATGTGTTTTACCTGTCTGCTCCAATCAGAGCTACTTAAACATCCTGGTCTGTAAAGCAGTCAAATCCACAGAAGATAATCAGTTATTGATAGAAATATTTCAGGATGAAGAAGTTTTAAAAGATGAGTCGATTGAACTGGGAGAAAATTTAAGTTTGAGAGTTTTACAGCCATTTTTTTCTTGCTAAGATGTAAACGGCTTGATTAACATTAAGCCGTTTTTGCACATGAAAGGTTTTAGCTGCTGTGTTTTGGGGTGGGGGTGGGGGGGTCGGAAAAATGCAGGGAAAAGAAGGTTTGTTTTCAAACATTTCAGGGTTACAGCCATTGCAACATTTGGCAGAGTCATCAGCCCATAAAGTTAGACGAAAACTGTGAGAGGCGACGTTTTACGAGTGAATCTGGGAGCAGTAAATCTGGGCGGGGAGCACGCCCAAACGCACTAACGGGGATGTTTTCCTTCTCCTGAGGCGGCTTCGCTTGTGCTCGGGGGTCAGTTCAGTGCGTGAAGGTTGTGAAATAGTCTCCTGGTCTCCATCCATGTGGATTCTAGGTGTTTTCCAGCAGGGAAAGCCGCCATTATTCAGTCTGGCCGAGCTGCCTCGCTCCATTCCTCCATCTTCCTCATGGCCTCCTCTTGTGTTTGACCTATCTTTGGCTTTAAGCTTTTTGTCTGATTAAACCTCCATCTTCTTCATGGCCTCCTCTTATCTTTGACCTGTCTTTGGCTTTAAACTTTTTGTCTGACCAAACCTCAACAGCTCTTAAAATCTGTTCTCGTGGTTCTCTGGCCTCCAGAGAACGGGGTGGCGGCCTTGTTCCCTATGTCAGTAGCTGAGGAAAACTTTGGTAAGTCTCCAAAAACAAGAGCGCCAAACATCTGGAGGCTGTGCGGAGACGGCCGTGACATCACGGCTGCAGATCCAGATGTTTTCCCGCCAGAGAGCGAGGGGCTCCGGCTCGGGCCGGGCTCCGCCCCGTTCGTCTGCTTTGGGCGTGGTGCTGTTGGGCCGGGCCCGACCGAGTCTGAGAGGACCTCCACACGCGCGTCTCTGAGAGAACCCGGGCGTGGGAAAAGCTCTCAGCGCCGCTCTCCCTCCTCAACGCTCTCATGCTAAAAAAAGCCTTGCGCAGATTAGAGCACGTCTGCTTTTATCTGACCGGGCTCCGAGAAGACAATCCTCCCCTCTAATCATCACGTGGCCCGCGTTAGCTGCAGAACAATAGTCCTGTAACTCATCAGAAGACGAGCTTCAGCTAAAGGTCACGGCTTGGTAAATGTCAGTAGGTCCGTTAATGGCCACTGACCCCAAATAAACCCGTCTGGATGTCGTTATTTAAACAGATGTGCACTCAAGTCATCTTTATGGTAGTGTCACAAATATTGTTGTCACGATACTAACATTTTCAACTCGATACCACAAGGATAAAAACAAAGACCCCAAAAATGAACTGAATTTTGACAGGTTAGTGTGTTTCGTTTCAAACTTACCTGTTACTGATGTTATGGTGGCCCAAATTAATGACCCTAAACCTAAACCTGACCCTAACCCTAACCCTCCAGCGTTCATAATTGTGAGAAATAAATATTTTTTGGGTTAAACTTGTTTGGACTTATTGTACAAACCTATTTAACATCCACTATTTTAACATAATATTATGTATAGAGTTTAATTCAATGTTTGTTTTTTTTTAATTAATGTCTATATGACCATGAAGCAATTAGGATTTTCTTGCCTGGGATCTTCCTTTTGGTGACCTAATCAAAATGGCCAACTTGGATGTGGGGGTGTTGGATATCCATCCTTTGCTTCCTGCAGTACTTTTGAAACTGAGTATCGTATCCGGATACAATGGTTTAGTATCGATACTTTTGACAACCCTAGTCACAAATAATTTCACAACCAGGAAGTACCTGCAATTTCTGTAGTTTTGTCCTAATACTTGGATGAGAAACCTGAATTCTGGGGATGCTGATCCCCGTTTAAGTGAAATTTGTTTGCTCCCTCTGTTCCACAGATCTGATGCTGGGCAGCTGCCGCCCCGACCGCCGCCATGTTCAACAAGAAGAAGACGAAGTCCCGCATCCAGATCTCGGCGCCGTCTAATTTCGAGCACCGCGTGCACACCGACTTCGACGAGCAGGAGCAGAAGTTCGTGGGGCTGCCGCGCCAATGGCAGTCGCTCATCGAGGACACGGCCAAGAGGCCCAAACCCTTCATCGACGCCACCGTCATCACCACCGTGGAGCCAAGAAAGGTGGGGAGGGCCGGGATCCTTTAAATGAACATCACTGTGTTTGGCTCAGTCAACACGCTCCCGTAACTCCATCCCATCCGGCCCATTTCCTCAGTAATGTTCATTCACATGTAGTCTGTAATAGGCTGGTCCCGATCGGGATATTTGGAAATATGTATCGGCCGGCTGGAGAAAATGCAGATCCAGACTCTAGATCCAGTTTTTTTTTTTTATTTGATTCCAAACAAGCATTGGCATTAGCATCTCCTAACCCACAGGTCTGTGTCCTAACCATTAGGTTGTTATCAGAGTAAATCCCTGCTCAACATGAGTCTGACAACTCAGTAAGTAGAATAAATAACTTTAAATTTTAATACATGCTCTGATAGGCCGGGATCAGTATCGGATCGGAAGAGAAAAAAGCTGGATCGGGAAATCCCTAAACTGTAATAAACTCACAACTTTAGAAAAATTTTCTCTCAAAATGAACCAAAAAAACCCAGAATATTTCTCAGCGATTGTCACGGTTTGATGGAAAGATTTCCTCATTTCGTTTAACTTTACCTGGCAGCTGTTTCTTTATTCTTTTTTCTGTTTATTTTAGTATGCAGCCGTCCTTCGCTATGATTTAAAATCGCAGAGTTTTCACCATTTCATGGGATATATCAGTAATAGGTGATGATTAGTAAATTGTAATGAGCAGACAAAGACGGAAATGAATGGACCAGCTGAGGCTCCACCTCAGCTGGTCTGCCCACATGTTCACCGTCTGATGAATGGGAGGGTTTATGAGGACTGAAAGATGAAAATAGATGATAAAAGAGGGGTTAAAGTGACAATGGAAAAGGCTCAGTTTGACTAAGAGGAGAGATGACGTCCCTCTGAATGAGTCTTTAAAGCACAACGTCACAACAAATGGAGAAAGACGTGGAGCAGAAGTCCATCCATTCTTTCTCTAAACCGGTTTATTCTCAGTGTGTGTGTGTTTGGGGGGGCGTGCCTTTTGAATGGATCCATTCCGGGTTTTGATTGCATTTTTTACCGTGTTTCCTTCAAAATCTGACGCGTTTTCTCCTTAAATCTGCAGACCATCGTGCGCGGCAGCAAGCTGGGGGTGGACGGCTCGCTGACCTGGCTGCTGGACGAGTTCGACGACATGTCCGTGACTTGTTCCAACTCCCTGCGCAGAGGCAGCCCCCCCGTCCAGCCCCGCAGGGACTCCCACTCCTCGGGCGGGGGAGGGGGGCAGGAGAACGGGGACCCCCACCACAGACACTACTCACACCCAGAGAGACAAGACAGGTACGGACGAGAGGAGGGTGGGAGGTTCTGTGGGGCCAAATCCACCCAGTGAACGTGCCCACAAAGTGTTTAAAGTCCAAACTGAGTTTTACTCTTAATTCAAAGAGCTTCTGAGGCTCCCGGGGGTCAAAGGTCACCGACATTCAGAGTCAAACCCCCAAATTTCCTGCAGCTGAGACTTTATAGTCTGATCTTAAACCACCGGGGCTCTCAGGGACCCAATCGGGACCCGTTTCCTGACCAGTTTTCTGAGCTCTTTTCACAGACTTTGTCCCCCAAAGAAAGTGATGATATTTAGTTAGTTTATCAGTTGGAACATTAAATATTGAGTCTTTGTGCTGGACCGATATCTTAAATCATTGTGTTCTGGTTTTGTAGACTTAACCATATCGCTGTCCACAGAGATCGACCCAGGCAGGAGCAGCGCGGGGGGGGCGACCCCCACCACGGGCAGCGGGCGGCGCGCCCCCCCCAGAGAGACGATGGCTCCCTGGGCCGGCCCCAGCAGCAGCCCCGGGGCCAGGAGCCCAGCCGGGCCCACAGGGACAGACCCGGCCCCCCGCCCCCCCCACACAGAGACCGACACCACCGGGAACAGGTGCAAACAGAAGCTCCTGTGGGCTCCTCTGGGGGGGGGGGCTCATTCCTCTCAGTTCTCAGTGGTTACTTGGTTTTTGTCCAGGAGCAGGCGGCCCGCAGGGAGCAGGCGGGCGACCACCGGCCCAAGTCCAGCTATGTGGCCCGGGAGGGCAGCCCCCAGTCCCCCAGGGACAAGAGGCCCCTCTCGGGACCCAACATCCGCACCCCCAACCTGCCGGCCACCGAAGGGCTGGTGAAGACGGCCCAGCAGGCCACTCGGCCGTTCAACACCTACCCCAGGACGGACAGCGAAGGGGGGCGCAGCCCCACAGGGCAGGTAGGTAACCCCCCCCATCCCTTAAACACTTTCCAGCTCCTCCTGGAGGATGCAGAGTTGTTCCCAGCCCAGATGAGATGTACAATCCCCCCCAGATAGCTCTGGATCTGCTGGGAGCCTCCCCCCAGTGGGACCTGTATACAGCAAAAACCTCTACTTCCGATCGCATAAACATAAGAATTATCCAACATCCAAAGTGAAATTTGATCAAATATTCAAGTTGACACCCCAGGTAAATTTCCAAAATCCACGTTGAAGTTATAAAAGTTATTAAAAAAAAAAAATACAGAGACTATATAACTATATATGCATTTGTTTTACTGCTATGTGTAATTATCTGCAGTATTTATTAAGGAGTTATCGTAGGTTTTTGTAACGAATTATAGGAATTAGTGTTCTCTGATGGGAATACTTAAACCAACATACCAATATTTTAACATAGGAAGTTGGTCCTGGAACCAGTAAGATTTGTATGTAGAGGTTCTACTGTACACAGACACATGCTTAAACGCGTTAGCTGGTCGGCGTGTTTGGCTCCTGACGCCCGTGTGCGACGCTGTGTTCTGTCCCCCCTCCAGCCGGTGCGACACCATGAGTCCTCCCCCCAGAACGGGCCCTCCAGCAGCTCCATCCGCAGTTCCTCCGGCTCCAAGCCTCCTGCGAGCCACCAGTACCCCCACCACGCCTCCCAGCCCAGCCTGACCCCCGAGGCCTCCCAGCACCCCCACACGCCGCACCCCAGCGTCCCCGCCCCGCGCCCGCCGGCGCCCTCCGGGCCCCCGCCCTCCGGCGGCCCCCCCCAGGGCCGCTCGCCGCAGAGGGAGCCCCAGAGGGTGTCGCACGAGCAGTTCAGGGCGGCGCTGCAGATGGTGGTGGACCCCGGAGACCCGCGGACCTACCTGGACCACTACATCAAGATCGGGGAGGGCTCGACGGGCATCGTGTGCATCGCCACGGTGAAGGCCACCGGGAAGCTGGTCGCCGTGAAGAAGATGGACCTGAGGAAGCAGCAGCGCAGAGAGCTACTGTTCAATGAGGTGAGAAGCAGGATCTGAGCAGGAACCGTGGCCTTTTGTTGGTTTTTGGGGGCTCGTAAAGCCTGTAAACCCCCCCTAAAATGGAAGAAAGTATTTATTAATTTTGCTTTACATTTTTTAGGCAAGAAAAGGATTATTTTCCTGCAAAAATAGTGAAGAATAAACATTTAAATAAAGAAAAATAACTATAACGTGCAAAATTTGGAAGAAACTGAAAAAAATGGAAGAAAGTATAAATTAATTTTTCTTTACATTTTTTAAGGCAAGAAAAGGATTATTTTACTGCAAAAATAATATGAATAAACATTTAAATAAAGAAAAATAACCATAAAGAGCAAAATGTGGCGATATTAAAAAAGCTGCGATGCAAAATTAGATGTTTAACATTTAAAAATCTGCAGCGAGAACTCCCAAACCAGAGACAGAAACCTAATCTCTCTGTTCTTGGCATTTTGAATTTGTGGATAAACCTCAAACCTGCTGTGTCCACACGTTTTTACCATAACACAAACTGTAAAAAGTCTAGTCCACCTTCTCACTGCCTCTCCACATGCACAGAGCAGACAGCAATAACCTGGTTAAAGACACAGGAAACAGGAAATTAGCCTGACTGGCTCCACCCAGAGGGGCCTCTCACACATCAGGAGGCCGTCGGCGGGTTTCAGAGCCCCGCTCGCTGTCCGTCTGAGCTGGAAACGGAGTCAGTCTGGTTTGTTTCCCCGGTAACTGCAGGTGGTCATCATGCGCGATTACCACCACGAGAACGTGGTGGAGATGTACAACAGCTACCTGGTGGGGGACGAGCTCTGGGTGGTCATGGAGTTCCTGGAGGGAGGAGCTCTCACCGACATCGTGACGCACACCAGGTGAGACGCACAACGGCGAGGCCACCCCGAGTTCACATCTGAAGGAAACCCTCCCCCCCATAGCTTTAGGGGCTAAAACACGAAAACACGAGCCTGGTGCTTTTGAAAGCCACTCATTCAAGGCCCAGATCCTCCGGCTGTGGTTTTTATTTCAAAAGTAGGTCGCTCTTCAACCTTCTGGGGTTTAAACACACAGCTGATTGGAGGGGAAAGCCTTAACCATTAACACGTTCAGAAATGAGTGGATCTGCCCTTTTATTAAGTTAAGGAGTTATAAATTGTGATGGCTGTGGACAGGAAAGATTTTCTATAGCGGTACTACAACCAATCTGAGGAAGCCTCTGTCTGGAGACACTCTGTTTTTAGTCTCATGAAGAGGGCGGTCAGGGGATTTTTAAGCTTTTTTCCAGAATATTGCCGCCATATTCGATCAGGATATCAGAGAAAAGAAGAATTGTCTGTTGCAAAATCTCTGGTGTCTCCAAAGGATTCATCAACGAGAGGGGAAGTTGGCTGTGAAGCAGCTGGTTGACCCGTTCAGTGTGTTTTATATCCGTCTACATACTTACATTTGTTTATTTATTTATGCGTTTTTGTTCCAGCAATGAGGAAACTCACTGGATTCTCTCCGCCTGAGGAAAAGCTCAGACAGCCTAACTGCAGGAAGTTACTGCAGCTCCCAGCAGAGCTAATTTAATTACATTTTTTGGTGTGCAGGCGGCTTATGTTAACCATCTCTGTTTTTAATCTCGGCCAAAATAGAAATATTCCAGATGTGAATGAGCGAATTATGCAAGAATATAACCCTGACTTGTCCGGCATCAGAAGCCTGTCTGGGTTTGCAGGGAGGAGATAGACGGGCGGTTAAGCTCTGAACAAGTTAAAACTTGTTTTTGTTTTGTTTTCTGGTCGCTCCTAATATTTCGGTAAACCGAGCGTGATCATTTAAAGTGACGCCTTACAGCTGTCCTGCAGGTTTGGACGTTTCGCTGCTTCTGCGCAGCTGATTCCAGCCGATGCAGCTCTAACCGAGCCCTAAAGAGCTGATTTCAGCCCGAATCAGGTGTGTTGAAGCAGGAAAACATCTAGAAGCAGCGGGCAGCTGCAGCTTGGGATCTCTGCCTGAAAGATTTTTGCTTTCGTTCGTCTGCCACCCTGCAGGTGTGATTCTGTCCATAAGGGGGCGGTGTTGCCTCATCTGCTGCCTCCAGAGAAACAGAAACAGACAATGTTTCTGTTTCCACAAAAAATATGATGACACATCCAGAGTTATTTCTGTATTAAGGCCCAAAGAGAAGCAGCTAAAGGCTCCTTCTCCTCTCAGAATCAGCTCAAACTTCATCTCTCTGCTCCTTATAGCAGCTTCCATTCTTCTTCTGGTTGTTTTTCTCTCCTCTCTGACAGTTTCTTTGGTTATTTAGTCCCTCAGCTGTTCCCTCAGACCTGCTCTGGATTAAACTTTTGTGTCTGTTTGTACATTATTTGTGTCTTTTTTCAGTTATCTTGAGTCTGACTCATTTCTTTTTGGTTATTTTGTATCTTTCTGAAGATGTCTCGTGTGCTTTTTGTGTTTATTTCATGTCTCTTTTTTAAATATTTTGTCTCTTTTTATGGTTTATATTTTTCTTTTTCTATTTTCTGTCAGTGTTTCACAATTTTTAGTTAATCAGGATTTCAAACCAAATTTCAGCCAACTCACTGGGCTTCTCTGAGAAGTCAGAAATGCATCGAGCAGACCATTTTATTCCTTTAGTGCTTCGCTAAAACTCTTGTATTGAGTTTGACTATATAAACATTGACCCTCATACTGCTATGTTCAATCCATCGTTTCAATCCAGCCTCTATTTCCTGGTTTGAATGTGGCATGTAGAGCAGTTATAACTAAAAATATTTTGTATTCGGTTTCCGTTCCACAGCAAATATTTTCTGACTCCCGCTCTTGTGTTTGACCTTTCGCCTCCCCAGGATGAACGAGGAGCAGATTGCCACCGTGTGCCTGTCGGTCCTGAAGGCGCTCTCCGTTCTCCACACTCAGGGGGTTATCCACCGAGACATAAAGAGCGACTCAATCCTCCTCACTCATGACGGACGGGTGAGTGGCCCACCTCACGCAGCGTTTGGGGGGGGCACTTAGCCTGCTGTGAAACGCACCCCCCCGGGTGGGGTTTAGTCCCCTCTGGGTACGGCACAGTTCAACCCAGCTGGAACCCAATTGACTGTAAATCAGCCGATTCCAGTTCAGCCAGAAGGCCTGAAATAAGGAGTCTGTAGAAAGGAAACCAGGAGATTTCCTGCATCCTGAGTGGTGACTGTGGGAAGAAAAAACTCACTTTGAACTGGAGGAAACCTTCAGAACCAGAACCATCTTTGTGGACCAGTTGGGGGCTGAAAGGACCAGAAAGGGGGTCCCACCAGAACCAGATACACCAGAATCAGAGACACCTGCTGAGAGAGAAAACAAACTAATGACAACAGTGATGTCACATGGAGAGGAAAGAGAGCAGAGTGGGGAGAGGTGCATCATGGGAGCCCCCCAGCAGAACTATGGGGGGTTTCAGGGTCCCTGAGTATCTGTAACTATCAGCTTTATCAGAAAGGAAAGTCTGATTTTAAAGGTAGAGGGTGGTGGGGGGGGTCTGCTTCCTGAAGGCTCTTTTTATGTTTTCCTGACAACTTGCATCATCTTCAGACGGTCTGCAGTTTTCTGAGAGTTTTTTAAAATCATAAAATCATCAACCTTTCCTGAAATGAGCAGAAATGGCCTCCGCTGTCTGTCGGGGGGGCACAAAGCCGGTGAGAAGAGCTGAACCGGTCCCAGCTGTGGCAGATGCCACATCACTTCCCCCGTGGTGGAAAGAAAGTTTCTGCTTTCTACAGTAAATGAAACCAACATGGTCGAACAGTAAAACCAAATAAAAAGGAACTGGCTGCCTGAAGTTCGGGGTGGGGTGCAGAGTCTTTCTGCAGAGCCTCGAGGCCTCGGCGCCGTGCACACGTTTGCAGGTCGGGCGTTTTGTGCAAAGCTGAGTCGACCGCAGTGTCCGTGGTGAGAGCTGATGAGTGTTTGTGGCCTGGCGTCTGAGTCAGCTGTGGTTTCGCCTGCAGCCTCCAGCTGAAAGCAGGAAACGCCCTCTCGCAAACATTTGGACCCCAGGCTTCAACCAAAGGAGCCTGCTTCAAGTTGTGATGTTTAAAATGGACTGAAAATTAAGTTAGAGCTCAGTTTTAGGTTAAGTTACCAGTAAATTGCTCTCAAGTGGTGCACAGGAAGCAGCTCTGTATGTAAATGGGCTTTATTTAGCCACTGGTTTACACCCTGACTGATACATCAGAGCTGGTTCTAATATTAAACCTCCTTCTCGGAGGTAAAGCAGTTCATATTTAAGAGTTCAGGGGTTAAAAAGTGTCTTTAAAAAGTGTTTTCTGTGTCTTTGGGACCTGGTTTCTGTTCTCCCTGATGGTAAACTTCTTAACCCGGTCCAGTCAAAGCCCTTTTTCCCTCTTTGTGTTTGATCAAAAGCCCCCTGAGCGGCCTGGCAGAGTTCACACTTACAGCTGTGGGGCTTCGGGTGGGACGGGTGTGAATTATTGTTTGTGGTTTGGCCTAGTTGGGGAAGCAGATTCAACCAAGCTGAAAAGTTTCCCGGCAGAAGGCTGGGTGTGTTTGTTGTGTTTTTGTGCAGCTGCACACCGAGTGTTTAGGCCGAATGTTTATGCTCCGGTTTTCGTGCTTTCAGGGCCCAGAGCTGCTCTGGATCTGGTTCCTTCAGGGTCCATGGGGCTGCTCTTTTTCTGGTGCCTTCAATGTCCAGAGCTGCTCTGGTTCTGGTGCTTTCTGGGTCCAGAGCTGCTCTGGTTCTGGTGCTTTCGGGGTCCAGAGCTGATCTGGTTCTGGTGCCTTCAGGGTCCGGGGCTGCTCTGGTTCTGGTGCCTTCAGGGCCCAGAGCTGCTCTGGTTCTGCTCTGGTTCTGGTGCCTTCAGGGCCCAGTGATCCTGCTGTTTATCACAGCGGCTTTGCTTGATTTCTCGGCCGATTCTGCAGAAAAGCAGCGAAGCACAAACTCTGAGAAGAGAGTCGTGGACGGGTGTGGAGCCTGTGAACTTTGGGTGTGGACGCTCAGACCTTTAAAGTCGGGAGGAAGCTGTGTGGTAAACACTGTCAGTCAGCTGAAACCGAACACGGTTCCCACGAACGAGGCCCCTTAGTGAGTCAGGAGTTGCTTTAAAAGACAACTTACATCAGTTTTAGTTTATTTAACGTAAATTAGTGACGATTTTTGTTCATTTTAGGAATTATAATCAGACACTGACCTCGTTTTATGTTCATTAGATGCACTCAGACACAGATTTCTTTCACATCTCAGTGGAACTTGCATGGATCGGGAGCTGCCCGGTCAGCTCAGGGGGCTCTGGGCATTAAGACGTCCAGCCCAAGAAGATAAATGCCCCTCAGACCCAGGACTCGGGGCCCTTTTCTGATAGAGATCCTCATTCAACTTTGTCACTAAGAGCCCACCACTGATTTACTTTACATGTGACCTGAATGAAGTGTTCTCTAATCATTTCTCTGGTTTATTCTCAGGCTCCCAAATAATAGAATAACCTCTTTAAAATGTTAAAAGGTGTTACTGGGGATCGTCTAAAAATAGACTAATGACTTCAAACTTGACAATCGGAAAGATGCTTTGGAGTCAAAATGGAGAAAATGGACACAATTTAAGCAGTAATTCCACCCCGGTTTGCCTGTTTAGCCCCTCTGTGACTCTGTGAAGAAATGTGTGTATAAACGGAAAAGTAACACCTGAGATACTCCTGCTTCCTCCCCCCAGGTGAAGCTGTCCGACTTCGGCTTCTGCGCCCAGGTGTCGAAGGAGGTGCAGAGGAGGAAGTCTCTGGTCGGCACGCCGTACTGGATGGCGCCGGAGCTCATCTCCAGGCTGCCGTACGGGCCCGAGGTAGGCCACCCCCCCCCGCGCCGCCACTGGCCGCCCGTGTGGCGTGCTGACGGCCCCGCTGTTTGCAGGTGGACATCTGGTCGCTGGGCATCATGGTGATCGAGATGGTTGACGGCGAGCCGCCGTACTTCAACGAGCCGCCGCTCAAAGCCATGAAGATGATCCGGGACAACCTGCCGCCCAAACTGAAGAACCTGCACAAGGTGTGTGCCGTCTGATGGGCGGAGCTTCAAAAGAGCTCAGTATCAGGTTTCCCCAGTCAGAAACACAGGTTCCCGAGGAGGCCAGTCGCGTGGTTTCCCCTTCGTATCCACTTTTATCTGTTCAGTGGAAGTTATTTTTTTGGCTTCTTTACTGCAAAAATAATTTATGATTCATTAATTACAAAATTAGAAGTTTAGATTTGAAAGCTCAGCAACAGTTTCTAATTTCTTATGAGTGGAGACCCTTTTTTGAAGAGATTCCAATTTTTTTACGTCAGAAAATGATTATTTTAGTTAATAATTATATGAAAAATAACTATTTACAATTTAAAGATCAACAACAGTTTAATGAATGTTGACATATTTTTAGGCTGGAAAATTATTTTACTTAAAAATAATGGCAGAAAAATACATTTTTACTGTAAAATCCCTCAAAAAGAAAATTGAATATGTAGAGTTTAAAGATCAACAACAATTTATTGAACGTTGACATATTGTTAGGCTAGGAAATTATTATTTTACTTAAAAATATTGGCATAAAAATAACTTTTTTACTGGAAAATCCCTCAAAACAAAATGAGTTGTCCTTTACAAACCAGCCACACAGTGAATGGGGACCCCCCAAAGTGAACCCAGAGGA